CATCTCATCTCATCTCATCTCATCTCATCTCATCTCATTTCATCTCATTTTATCTCATCTCATCTCATTTTATCTCATAAATTCTCATTCTATCTCATTTCCTCTTATCTCTTTTCATCTCATCTCATCTCATCTCATCTCATCTCATCTATTCTAATCTCATGAGATGAGTTTAAATGAGATGAGATGAAATGAAATCTGATGTGTTAAGTTGAGATAAAATGATATGTCATGAGATGTATTGAGATCAAATTAGACGAATTAAGATGCGTTGACATCTGATGAGAATAATCAAATATGATATTTCATGATATGTAGATCTTTCTTGAACTTTATTTTTGTGAGTTGCGCACATATATGTTGATTTGAGTTATGATGCCATATGCTAGGATTTGTTTCGATTAGAAACGATGTTACAGGTTGAAACCTAATGTTTTGACATTATTTCTATTAAAATGAGTTTAACTATAATCAGAATGATAATATTTCTTGGCTTTTGTTGGGCTTACTTTACTTCTGATTTTCAGAGTTAAATTATTCTAATTCCATTTGTGATATTTTTAATTGTGTTGAAATCATTTGATCTGAATTTATCTATTTTGAAATGATATTAAATTGAATTTTATTTTATTTTATGCGTTTATATGAGATCGTGAAAATCAATTTAGCTGGGATGAGTTAAACTCAGATTCTATTTGTTGACATTTTATGTGATGAGAATTCTTGAGTTGGGTTTAATTGAATTGAGATAAGATCCGATTCGTTATGCTCAGTTTGGATGCGATGAGAAACGATAAGTTGAGATGCGTTGGAACGTGTTGAAATTAGATGAGATAAAATGAGATTAGATGTCATGATATTTATTTCGCTTAATATATTGAGCTGAAGTGTCGTGAATTCAAGTCATAAGGTATTTGATTATTGAGATAAGATATCTTGCATTTATATCTGTAGAATTCTAATGAGAAGAACTTAGTTATATTTAGCTCCGATTCGATCAGTTGTGGTTAGTTGTCTTCAGATTGATATTTTCGCTTTGAGATGCATTATATATCTCTGTTTCTTCATATCTATATTTCAAGTTTTATCATTATATTTAACTTGACTTCCTAACCGCAATCTTTTTCCATTATGACTTTCATTTCTGATTGATTTCTACTTGTCGGCCTTTGTCTTTGCTTGAAATATCCTGAAAATTTTTAACATTTTTTCTTATCTTTTTTCTTACACCTTTAATATGTTATTCATGCATTTTCATAGAAACTGCATTTATTCAGCTTACTTAACCAATTTAACAACATTTTTGCTAAAGTTTTTCTTGTATAATCCCTTTTGACTGCCTGACCCTTGCTGACGGATTTATTCAGGCAATCCTTCTTCGGTTTCCTGCTATTCTAATTTTACATTTTCTTCCAACCTCCCTTTCTTTTGCAACAACATATTAAGCCAGCTTTCGATACCCAGCTCTGTCTCTTCTTTCGAATAGTACCATTTTCGTCACCGATTTTCCTCCTCCTTTATCCCCCACCTCCAAACGGTCTGAGGCCTCATAGCTGGCAGGCAAAGGCCTTCGTTTTCTGTCTGTCCATGAGGTCTTGCATGTTTCGGCTTTCTAACTGCCCACTCTCCAAACTAATGATAGCCTCTTCCTTATTCAAAGACAGAGACTTCAGTAATATTTATGCATCGGCATGATTCAGAGACCAAAATGATTCATTCATATTCCATTATCCTGCGGGAGTCCGTTTAGCCTGCCCTTATCGCTATAAAAATGGGAAATTTAGTTCCCATATTCTCTCAGACACCCGCCTTATCCTCTCATGGTTCTGTAGTAAAGGGATTCTTTTTATCCAGTCTTTCTGGGACACCGGACACCACCTTTCCTCCTCACAACCTCTACTCTCCATACACCATCCGAGCTATGCGTTTGTCCGTGAGTTTATGAATGCGTTTCTCCAAGCCTAGGCACACCTACACACAAATTCAACGCTGTTTTTTTTGCAAATGCCTAAAGTTGCCACTTGTTAAGCGATACGTGCCCCTCAGGGCTGCAGCTGGTGCCACTGCTTTCACATATCTTTTCTTGATAAAAAGGTCGCAACACGTGCAAGAAATGCAACTATTAGAGTTCGCGAAATGTGATCTGCCTGCCATAGAGGAAGCAAACGTTGTTGTTATCTACGATAAAGGTCGTGGATATCCAGCAGATTGTTCGGGTGGTCAGATCTCTGATATTTTGCAGAAGTTTCACTTTCCTCAAAGAGTGTTAGGATGACATATTTAGGGTGGGAGATGCCAATATGGTTAGGCCGCATTCTGAATAGAATGTTGTCGTGCCATCAAAAAAATTTGAAGAATTTTTTGCCTGATAGGGTTATATCCGTAGAGAATCATGCTATCTACTACTGAGATGACCGTTTTAATGATAAATAATTTATTCGAAGATATGCCATTTGCTGTCTAGTCTGTCCAGGTAAGTCTGAGAGGAGCTCTATGAATCGGTGCTGAACCTATAGTTGGTATCGAATGGACATCATCTAAACCATGAATGTTGCCACCCTAGGTCGCAGAAGGTTAATCTTGTCAAATCTTTATATAGTGATAGTAATGGTATAATGATTCAATTGTATTCCACATAGGTGTGCCTGCCACAATGTAGTCTTGTCTTGAGTCGTCGTGCTTACTTCCATTTCAAGTAAGAGTTTTTGGTGGAGAGATTCGAAGGTGGATCCAAACAGAATACGACGGCGGATTATTACAGATTGGCTTCACTGGAATAATTTTATTGG